TCTCAGGCAGGAGCCAGATCTATTTCACAAGGACACAGCTGACAGAGCGAGACAAATACATCTCTGCTAGGGTGAGGGAAAAAAAGAGGAAAGGGTCCCTTGATGCAAGGAAATGGGCATTGCACTTCCCTTTGCAGCTAAATCCTCCAGCTTGGGATCCTTTACAGACTGGCAGGGGACCAGCATCTCATTTGTAATATTGGCATCTCTTGCAACCAGGGAAATATCCCAGACTTAAACAAGAGGGGTAGGGCCATCCAGTCTCAGGTGTATGCTGCACCCTCTTTTGGTACTTTTGGTTTACTATTCCAACTGCAAATATGCAGACAAACATGCAGAACCTTCTTTGGTAAGCACTTTTAGTTCTGTTTTCCAACTGTAAAATGAGCACAGAGTACTCTGCACCGTTTCCATATACAATTTTGGTTTCCTGTTCTGACTGCAAATTAAACACGTTTTCAGTTCCTTCTCTGACTCTAAGCGATACCCCAATGTTTGAGACACTGGAACAGTTATAGTCTTCTTCCAGAGTGATGTTTTTGGTGCTTAGCAGAGCTAAGGAGAAAAAGAAAAACAAATATATTATATATTTTACAAACACAATAGCGATTATCAAAGACATAGATACATACAGTCACATTGAACCAATATTTACAAGCCACTTTCCACATCCTGTGAGTCCCAGTGATTCCACCACTGAGGCAAGCCAGAATCCAGACACCATCACATGTAGGGCAGTGCTGGAGTGCAGATTCCTGAAAAAACAGCTGCCATGGGTGCTCCAGTGGCCTCCTCCCAGCTAGGCACTCTGCTCCTCCTTCTTTGGGACTACAGGGAGCTGCTCTGCAGCCATGTTTGCTTCCCGCAACCAGCCCAGCTTGGCCACATGTGAGCTGCATTGCCACATATAACTGCCAAACCCCATCACAGCTGTGAGGGGAAGCAGGGACACAAGGCACACCGCATACCCAGCCCAATGCAGAGCTCAACTCACCATGAGGCAGCAGGAGCACCAGGCAGTGGACGGTCCTGGGAAAGCCATGGCAGCAGATGTGATCTGTGCAGTCACCGCACACTGCATACTCCTGGTTGTCGTGCCGCGGCTGGGCATCCAGGCACTCCCAGTCAACAGCAGAATGCACCCAAGCTACAGGGTATCTTGCCACCTAATATCCTGTCATGTTCTGTCAAAAACAAAATACACTAGCTGTATTTGGGAAAGGAATTTTGTGCACCCAGGACATTGTAGCACAGTAAGGACAGGATGATTGAGAGCAAGGCTGCCTATAGTGGGCCAGTAAAAAGCGATATACTAGAAACAAAGATGGACATTGGAGTCCACTGACCTAGTGTGGAGGTGCCGTATGAAACAAGTAGTGGTATCGAAGTATCGGTGGTAAGGATTTGGCTGGGAGACATCCTGAGAATACCAGGTACTGCAAGCGTTTAAGGTGCCTTAACATGCAGTAGAGTGCCACCTGCTGGATCTCGTCGCTGGTGTTCCCTGTAGGATTGCAGACGCACTGTAGCTCTCGCTTTTTACTCTACTATCAGGATCTGCGGTTGACCGTTTGCCACGTTCCTTTCCAGAGTGCACTGACCTAGTGTGCAGGTGCCGTAAGGTCCAAGTAGTGTCCTGTGAATACGCTGCGCATATGCGTCAGTCAGGAGGGCATTGAGGTCTGCCATGCTGGACATGGGTCAGTGCTCACTGCGGCATGGTGCACGTGTGTGAGGAGCTGTTTGATGTCCACCTCTGTTCACGGTCTCATTTCAGTGCTTGATGGCTGAAGACCGAGTGGTGCTGGTGTGTGTCCGTGGTGTGAAGATGAGAAGAGGGCTGGAGCAGGAACATGAGGCACCTACGGCCATCCCACCCTGGTAATGCCCCATCTCATCCAATCTCAGAAGCTAAGCAGGGTTGGGCCAGGTTAGTACTTGGATGGGAGACCTCCTGGGAATACCGGGTGCTGTAGGCATTTGCTGCCGGCCTTTTCTATCCCTCTGGTCCCAAGGGGTCCAGCTGGCTGGAGCAGGCGCCAGCTTGTGTGGTTGGGGGCATTGTTCCGCTAAGCTCATTTTGAGACCCTGTGGAGTTAGTATCTGTTTGGGCTTTTATCTGGTGTTTCACTTCTTTCTTATCCCATCCCCTCCCCTCCCCAGTCTGCCCTCCCCAATCTGCCCTCCACACCCCTCCCCTACCTCCTTCCCTTCCCTTCCCTTCCCTTCCCTTCCCTTCCCTTCCCTTCCCTTCCCTTCCCTTCCCTTCCCTTCCCTTCCCTTCCCATTTCTTCTCTCCATTGTCTGCTGGAGACATCTGGGCTTTGTGGCTCTGTGGCACTGATCCATGCAATGAGTTGTTCTCTTTCCTGGCTGTCTACTTCCCCCAGCTTCTCGTCCTGAAGCAGGTCACCCTTCAGGTATTTCTCTCTGACTTTGGCACCATCTTGGTTCTCTTGGGGATCCTTGAGAGCACCTGCCATGTCTGAAACAGCCAGAGCATCCCCCCTAACGGCGACAGCTGCCTTGCTACACCCACTCTGTGCAGACACCCACCCGCCAGCTCTGCGTCCTCAAACTCATTGCTGATCCAGGTGAGCAGTTCCTCAATGTCCACAATACCATCCAATATATCTGAGCTGGTCACCACTGCTAGAAATGAGTCACTGGTTAAATTTTACTTACACAAAAACACATGTTGGAGAAGCAGAGCTCAAGCATTCTCCTTGGACATCTGAACTCTTACCCATCATGAGCAGAGGGTGAGAAATCTTACTCAGAATCCACAACAACAAACTATGCTTCCATGCTGATTGCATTCCATGCCACAGAATGGCCAAAAACTTTGTCAGCCAAGCACTGGCAGAAAACAAGAGTACACATTTTTAGCATTTCATCATGAATTAAAAGTACAGACTCAGTTTACTATTAAAATTAAAAGGGAAAAAAAAATCTCTATACACATTTACGTTAGTCTCCAAGTTGCCAGACATCAGTTTTCAATGAAGAAAAACCACATTTGACATCTGCTTCTATAGCAGAGCCAATCTGGCTTTTAAAATTTATTCTGTTGAGGATAAAGACGTTCCACTGCTTTGTCCTTACGAAGCACTTCATGATACGCAACGAATTTGGCAGCCAGCAGAAGAGAAGACCTCCTAAGGGTGGCCTTCAGTATCTCAAGGGGGGCTGCAAAAAGCAAGGGACAGATCTTTAGATTGGACATAAGGATGAAGTCCATTACAATAAGCGTGGCACTGGAACAGGGACACTGAGGGCCCCTTGGGCTCTCCGGAGCCCTGAGCACTGGGCATCAGGGCCTGGGGATGGATGGGATGGAGGGCACCATCCCCCACCCCTTTCCAGGGGGACCACTGCCACCCCCAGACCTTCCCTCGTGCTCTGTGGTGCAGAGGAGGAGGGTCTCGAGCTGACTACGGATGGCCCAGGGTCACTGTGGAGGTGGGACAGGGGCTGTGGCTGCTGTCCCTAGGGGAGCCACATCCTGCCCTGGGCTGCTGCCAGCCCTCCTCCTGCCCAAAGTCCTGGGGCACAAACCCTGCACGGACAAGGCTTCTCCATGGTCAGTGACACCTTCCGACATCCTCTGCTGACCAATGGAGTCCTCTGAAGAAGAAGGAAGATCCTGATGATCGCTTACATCCTCCAGTGATCAACAAAGCCCTCAGCAAAGCCACGCTCTGTGTGTCTGCGTCCTTGTCCCCACGCTCAGCAGGAACCGCTCACATCTGTCCCTGCCTGGCAGAGGCCACCCCTAGGTGCTCGAGGGGTCCCCAGCTCCGTGCCCTGCACCCCACGTCCTGCACCCATGAATCTCTCCATCCCCTCTGTGCTGCCTCCTCCAAAATCCTAAAGGACAGAGCACCCCATGCTGCCTAGCAGCCCCAGTACCCTCCCTCTGCTCTCTCCCAATTCCTCCTTCCAGTTCCTGCCAAACCCTTCACCCTCTGTTCCACCTCCATGGCCACGATGTCCCCAGGTCACTCTCCTTTTACCCCCTCCCTTATCGCAGCCAATTGCTCCTCACTTGGATCTGCTTCAGCCCTCCTCCTTCAGTCCCACTTCCCCTCCATCACTATCCAACGTGGAGTCCCCGAATCCCCTCTCTTAGGCACCTCAAATCTCCTCTCTGATGACCGATGACACCCTCTGTTGATTAATGAAGCCCTCTGACCGTCAGTGAAGATCTCTGATGATCAGTGGAGCCCTCTGACAGCCAACAAAGCCTTCAGATGACCACTGACAATCTCTGATAGTAAACTGAGCCCCCAGTGATCAGCGGGCTGCTGCTTCAAGTGCAGGAAAGGGAAGTGAAGGGTGAGAAAGAATATTTTGACATCATTTGGTTGAAAGCATCATGGTATAAGGATTTCTTCGGATTTAATCAAGCACAGAATTTAGAGAGAAGTGTGAGTGCATCACACTTGCATGTGCTGCCCGGTGCCTGGAACCGGCTGCCTGATTCTACTCCTCTCCAAGAGGCTCGGCTGCTCCACAGCGATGCCGACCTGCTCCTCGTGGAGGTGCTGCTGTGCGGGCACTTGGACTACGCTTGGGGCGGGCTGCACTGCCGTCCCCCGCGTCCCCGCCCTCCTCGTCCTGTGCCCGCAGTCCCAGCCGGGGCCCAGCCGCCCCGCGGCCCTGGATGCGGAGCGGGCGCACGGCGCGGGGCTGCGCTGCGCCGCGGGCGGCCGAGCCGGGCCGGGCCGGGCCGGGCCGAGGCCATGCGGGACGCGCGCGGAGATGACGCAATGACTGCGCGACCGCGGCCGGAACGAAGCCCGCGCGGAGCGCCCGCCCCATCCGGCGGACCGACCAATGGCAGCACGGAGGATGGGGGGCGAGCGTGGGCTCTCCGCCAATGGCGGCCGCGGACAGGGGGTCGGCATGATGGCGGAGCCGCGGGGCTCCGCGCGGGGGAAGTGGCGTTTAGCTGCCCCGCCGCCCCGCCGCCGCCCGCCTCGTGCAGGGAGGTGCGGAGAGGACGGGGCCAGGCTGCACCCGGCGGTGCCCAGCAGCGGGACCGGAGGCACTGGGCACACGCTGCAGCGCAGCAGGTTTCCCCGCAGTGCTGCCACGGCCGCGCTGCTTCCCCGTTTTGGGTAATACTACTGGATATGTATGGCTGGGCTAATGAATGTATCGAGACCCCACTGTGGCACGCACGCTAGGAGGAGCGATCACCCTTGCGCCCGGCGTGTGGCACAGCGCTGAAAGAAAGACGTCTGCTCTCCTAACCTGACGGGGGTTCGAGAGTTTGATTCCGCAGATCAGTTGGGCACCCCAGATGGGACACTCTCTGTTCGGCTGCAGGACCAGTTGAGGAGGGAGACGCCTTTGGCGCGCCCTGAGAATTGTTGGAAGGACTCCCTCTGCTCATCCTATCACTGCGGGGACAGACGAGGACCATCTGGAAGCGGACCAGGTACGTTTAAAGGGAAGGCTCCGTAAGGCGTACGCTGGAGCCGGGGACTCCGTCAGACGTGAGGGGCCGCCCCACGCGGGAGGGCTTTACCCTGCGGGTGGACTAGTGCAGGGGTGCGGGACGGGAAGGTAATGACCGGGAAGGACAGGTGCCTTGTAGCACTGTGTCTGATTGCAGGGATTGTGGGTTCGAGCCCCACCTCTGGCTAGCACTTGTAAGCTAGGCTAGCGCTTGGGCACTTTTAATCACGAGTTCATAACCATCTAGAACTCAGGTCAATTCCAGGGATTGTGGGTTAGAGTCCCACCCCGAGTTAGTGAGGTACAGTGCTGACAGCTGTCAAGTGATAACCTGCATCATTGCAGCCGCGGCAGTAGGAATAATGATCTGCGCTGTTGTTGCCATCTGCAAATGTCCAGTGCTGTGTGTTTGAACAACTGCTATTGGTTTATTCGGGATTTTAATTTGAGGAAGCTTCTGAGTTTAACTTTTTTTTTTTTAAATGAGCATATTTATAGGAGAATTCAGGACCTCTCCTGAAGTGCATGTATTGTGCATTTATATATGTGATAAATCTTAAGCCCTGACTTGAGCCCTTTTTGCTCATCTGTACAGATGCACGATTTCAGGCCAGCCTCTGTTTTCTGTAAGACTCCATTATTAAACTGTATTTGCATGCTGTGGCTGTTCAAGGTCCTGGCAACAGATTGCATTGAGGACCAGATCAGAAGACCTGGAAAATGGGGCCTTGTCAACTCCCTTGACTGCTTCTTAAAACAAGTCCTGGCAGATGGCTGCTCAGAGCTGTATTCTCTGCTTTATTGGTGTGCAGATTAAAGACTGGTGATGTTTCTTACTGGTGCTTAAAAACAAACACTCCAAAGCCCACGGAAAGATCACCACCTCCAACCACAAAGCTACCAGAGTAACAGCTTCTATAGCTACTGCTATTGGAGCACTTTGATCTGAAGGGCCTGCAAAGGTTTGTGTGCTTTCCATGGGTGTTTGTTTTCTTGCTTTGTTTTATCCTTAAGTAGACATTTGATTCCTTTCAGTTTGAGAAAATAGAGTGAAGTGCCTCCGTATTCTTATCCCACTTGAGACTCGTCTGTGTAAGCCAGCATTTCTTTGTGCATGGCAAAAGGGAAGCACTTTGTCATGCTGACTTCTGAAAACGTGGCTTGGCAATCACTGTGCCAGCAGTCTTGTGCTGCCTGTGCCGCAGCTCTGCAGAGAGGTGGCACGTATGGTGATGGTGAAGGCAAATGCCTTGATTTTCTGCTTGTTACTGCCTATGTAACAGCGTTCAAGAAAATGGCTTTCATGTCATCTGAACAGTTCTTCTGTTCCTTTCTTTTTCCAGACAATCACTCAATCTGTCAGGCCTCCCCTGCCTCATTTCCAACCTTCCCCTCAGTGAGCAGCTTACTACCTCAGCCTTGTAAGTACACCTTCAATACATTAGGTTGCATTGACTTACATTTGGTGAAGTGAGTTGCACTGCTTCTTGTGCATGCACGCAAATTACGACCAGATGCCAGAATTCAGAACTGCTCGCCTCCAGTGCTGCAGGTTCTGTGCCTGACAAAGTGTCAAACATCCTGCTTTTCTTCTTACCATATGACACAGTGGTACAATGAATTTGTAGGGTTAGTGCCTCCCAGTCTATTTGTGTATACTGAAGAAAGAAATTGCTGGAACAGAGATGCAGTTTGGTTTATCCTTGGGGTTTATTCCAAGGCTGTGTGCTCTGACATGCTGCTATGGTTTAACTGTCGGAAGTGGTCGTGACCTTTCTGCTGGCATCAGTTCCTTCCCAGGGAATAACTGCAGCTGACTGCAGCGTTGGTTTTATTGTTCCATCCCCACAACAGATATTCTGAGAGTCTGTTTTTTTCTGTTCCTATTATTAGTATTACTGCATTATTAGGATGGTGGCTCATTGAGGTACGTAGATTGCTCTGAAAGGAATGCCTCCTATTTATTTCCACGGAAATGACCACGGATACATAGGGCGAGTTCTCAGCTACAAAGCTGTTTCTCAACATGGTCACCACCATTAGCGATGCTTTTTTTCCAGCAGTGAACAAAAGCCTGCATGCTGTGCTTGTTTAAAAAGCAAAAAAAAATCAACTCTGGCTGTTTGGGTGGCTTGTCTGAAATGCACCACCACTGCTTCACTGTGCTCACCTCCACGTGTCGGGCTTCATAAATGTTCTGCAGGCATTGATGGATGTCAGTGGTGTGATTTTTTCAGCGTGGAGGAGTTCAGCGACACCCTGTGCTCCATGAGCACTTCCGAGCCAGGTGCTGTGCAGTCATTCTGGCCCTCTGCTACCGTCTGCGGCATGGCTGCAAAATGTAACTGAGTGCTGGCAGGAAGGTTCAGCCTCTGCTGTCATCCCACCCATCTGTGATGTTGTGGGCCAGCTTTATAAGACAGGAGGCATTACTTTTGGATCAGCCCTTGTGTAGTTATGAAAAAGTAAGGTTTATAAAGGCTGGCTGAGTAAATTGGTGGCTGCTAATGAGATCCACAACTACAGGAAAACAGTAGTTAGACATTGACAACTTTCAAGGTCAGTTTAGATTACATGGCTGTGTTGGGTTATTTTTTGTTTAATGTTGTATTTCATTGCAGTAGTTTCTGTAGTAGCTGGATATCTGTAGTATTGATCCGGCCCGAAGGTGACAACCTTCCAACCTGCTGGTCTCTGCCCATGTTCTCTGTCACAACATCGGATGTGTGTGCTCGCTGGATGCACTGATAAGAAATGTTTTTGAGAAGAGAACCTCGTGCTTCCCAGAGCAGTAAGACTGTGAGGATTTGGGAGGCTCTTCACAAACCTGGTTAGAGTGTGCTTTCCCAGACGGCGTGCTGTTAAAGCAACCCTTCTCAAAAGCAGAGCATTGTGCCTGGTGTGACTTAAATCCCACCCACAAAGGAGCATTCCCTGCAGTCTCTGATCTCAGGTGCGTGTTTCCCCCACTGCTGGAACTGCTGGACTTTCA